GCTTCGAGCGGCCCGAAACTCAGTCAAGAGCCCAATTACGAAATTGTGCAAACATAGAATGGAGGTGGCTACACTGTCAGAATATGGCTACATCAAAGAATTATCCGTTGATATGGATGTCCAAGTTACACCTGGACCGATAAGCGCAACTCCTGAACTACAGAATAACCTACAGAGTAGTTTAGGGGTCATCCTGGCCATTCCGTAGAGGCCTGGGTCCGAGTCACTCTGATTAATTAGTTATTCATATGGCGTAGGTGCACGAGGAGTTTAGGGTTAGGGTTGAGGGGTAGGGATTAGGGTTTAGAAAATTAGTATTCATAGTGCGTAGGGTTTTTGCATCTCATTTAAAAAAAATAACGGTTTTCAAGGTGACGTCTCACACAAAGGGAACAAAAGAATCCAAGATGGCGAAGGGATTAAGTCAAACACACTGTTTTTTTGCATACGTAATATTTATTGTGAAGGTGTAGTCTGATCGTCTCGGTTAGTGTAGTCCTGAGAAGTAACCATATGATGGACTAGCATCCCATCCAGGGGGGAGGGAGAGTACAAATATTTCCTCGCTTAGGCTGTATGGGCGACTGGCCTGACGCAGACTTGTTCTTAATTCTAGTACGTGCATCTCCATGAACAGTGCTGGTAAATGTTTTTTTATGGGAACTTTAGAAAAAGTTTTCGTATTAAATTATCTAATTAAGTTGTGAACCTACCATCAATTTTTAACTATCAATATTCTTATTTATTTATTAATTTACTTTTATTTATTTTTTTTTAAATTTATTATTTTTCGGTCATTCTGGGAATTCCGAGTAATCCGGGTAATCCAGCTATTCCAGATATTCCAAGTATTCCGGTTCCGGTTCCAAATTCCGGCATTTGATATTTTCCAACTGCCATCTTTTAGATCGGTTTTTCGGTTTTTGTGCCAAAAAACGTCGGTTCTTCGGTTTTGTTGTTCATTCCGTTTTGTGGATTATCCGTTTTCAGCATTTTGTTTCCGGTTTTTGTCAAAAATTTTGACGGGTACTCGGATTTGGTATCCGATGTGCTTTTTCGGTTTTTCATATTGAGTTTCTGGTTTCTCTTCGATCTCAGCAGAAGTCATACGCCTCTGCTGATCTCGAATAGCCGCGAAACCGATGTTGATCCACTTGTAACCACAGTTTCAGATAGACTGGGACTTTGACAACTGAGATGTGTAAATCTATCGACTTAGACGGTTTTGCCTGCGGTTTTTGGTTTTGATCGGAAAAAAAATACATTTCAGCATCAGAGATGCTGAATGTAACACTAAGTTATTAGCGTTAGCCAACAAAAAAATATGTTAGAGAAAATGGGAATTTAAACTTGAGTTTCAAAGAGTTAAATACTCCCATCATGGATGTTGTTTTGCGTTAATTATGAGGAAAATATTCATTTCTGGGTCATAAGTAACTTAATTCATAAGTACGAATGATCGATCAGTTATCGAAAGTTTAAAAATTGACAAAAGAAAACCGACTTTAATTATTATTTGAAAATGGCAGAGCTTTGTCTGTGATGTGAAGTTTGATGAACATTTTTAAGTGTGTACACCTGTCGTAGTTTTATGAGTTTTAGTTAGTTTATTGCTTTTTACTCCTTTGTAATCGACTTTTCTTACATCTTTATTTTGAGGAATGTCTCCACTATATAACTTTGAGCTCGATATCGTGACTGCAGTTTCTTTTCTCTGCTTTTTGTCTGGAGTTGTATTTCCATCTTGCCATGGTTGTTCTGGTAAGTGTCTATTTTTTCTTTTCTTTGCGTTATTCTTAAAGCAACCTTGTGACAACAGTTCTTAGCTTTTTCAGGTCCTCCAAATAGAAATCAACTGAAGTTCCTTCACACTTTTAGCGGATCTCCACCCACTAGTAGAAAAGTTTTATCGGACATTTGCAATGGCGTGTGATTACGACGACCCAAAATAAAATTTGAAAGACCTGATTACTGGGTAACGAGAGACTTAAAGTTTCTTCCGTGAAAATTCGGGAAAGCCTACAGAATAGGCGTGGTGTTTTATGTCTTGCATATTTCAGCGAGCGGAGGCAATGTGAGACGCAGGAGATGAAACACGCGCGGGAAGAGGGGCGCAAAAAAGGTTTATATTCAAATTCAAAAGGCGAGAGGGGCCGTTCGTGTCTCTTTCCTAAAAAAAATTATAAAAAAGCAGAAAAAAAATAGAATTTCGCTATTAGATGCTCTGCTAACCTGGCTAAAATTAGTTCCTTTTCGAAATTGGTCATATTTTAAACTTCAATGTTCGTGCCATATGTCCTGGTCTTCATGATGGGGAAAAGCATAAATTCCGAAAGCATCATGTTAGTTACGGTGAAAATGGTGGTCACAATTTGTTTATCACCTGCTTCTTTCAATTAGTTGAAGAGTCTAATGAAAAGATGCAAAACAGTTGGAGAGTCGAGCTTTCCTGCGCAACAAACAGTTGCTTTTCCTAGCTTTGTAAATGACACCTTACACAAATTGAGATAAATGGGAAAACGTCACTTTTCAAGATTACCTGAGACTGCGATATTCAGAACATTCAGTCAGGAGGCATTTGTGAAAAAAATCCACCCCCCCCCTCCCCCTTGAGTTATCATTCGTTTTGCCTTGTTGAGGGAGGTTTTCGATTCATTTTAGGACCAGAATATTTTCATAATTTTCTCATGTGCTAACTTAGTTCGTGGAACGGAGTAACCTGTTTCACGATCGGAGGACATTGGCGTCTTGCGATACAAGACGTGATTGTTATTTGTTTGAATGTGAACTTGCACTCAATAAAAATTATAATCACATGGATTGTTTCGATCGCGGGAGCCCGTTTTCATTTGGAAAGGAAATTACGGCGGCGAAGGAAAATTGTCAACCGCCTTAAAAGTGACAATCGCGTTCCAGCATCCCTACTACTCGTTAACCACTCCGTTTTGGAAAGTTCTAGTTAGGTGCTCGACAGGAAATTAGAACCAGGAATTCATTGATAATTTACCGAGGCGACGTAACGCATGTCTTCTCTTGTTTGAGTAGCATCAAAATTGTGAAATCTATAAATTAGTTCGGATCATGAGAAGATGAAAACCAAAGCGGTTAAGTGTGGGCGTGTATAAAACTGTCCATAACCCAGTGGCATATAATTAAAAAAAATTAACTTCTCTAGAAGCGGTTTGCGGGGCTTCACCAAAACAATAACAGTAGTCCGCCAAGCTGTTATAATCAGTTGAAGTCATCATTCGTGCAAAAAAAAAGCTGAAACCTTCATTTACGTTGGCGCTTTCCAGATGGGACTGATCATTTAACCTTAGAGAATATCGAAATGGCGTCTTTGTATAAATTTGACCTAGAGACGCCGTTAATCGTCTCTGATTTTGTCATTTTCTCCGGAATCGTGTTCCCCTTTTGTGGAGGCTGTACAGGTAGGGACATACCATGGAAGCAATACCATATTAGCAATTTTGTTTATTAAGTAATGATTTCTTTCGCTTATTTCACTCGTCGTCGAGAAATCCTTAGGAATTTTGATTTTTTTTAATTGGCTCGTCTTTTTTTTTCGTTCGTATACTCTAAGCTGAAAATTGAGAGTTATAGTTCATGCCCATGCCGTATTTTAAATCTACAAATAATACATCCTGCAGATGTTCATTGTTGACTGTTTGAGGGAAAAGAAAAAACAACGGCTAATACAGACTTTTCGTCAAATGGTTTAAAAAACCTTGGCTGTAAGTTTTCCTTAATTCTCTTCTTTTTTCGTTTTTTATTTTTTGTTTTTTTGCAGCTGACGAGTCTCGCATTCTCCTATTTGAGGAACCGATAGCAAATAGGGCAATTAAGGGGCATGTGATTAGGAGTAGTGAGGTCCTCAGTGAGGGAAGCTGTCGCACGATGTGTTGTATGGAGCCTAACTGTGTCTCCATAAATGTGAAACCTTTAGACGGAGGAAAGTACAACTGTGAGTTGATTAACGCCACGGTTGATAAAAGTGAAGTAACCTTTGAAGAAGTGGATGCTTACTACGTGGCGATTGAAGTAAATGCTTCTCTCAAACTTTAAGTTATGTTTGGAATGAGAAGAATTCAAAGTCGAACACTCGCTCAGCGCTTTACAATTTTAGACTAGCATTTTTATTTGTTGCTTCATCGTCAGGTGGAACTAGACTTAGAC